GGGCAGACCTGGGCACACCCAGGGCACACCTGGACACAGCCAGGGCACACCTAGGGACACTCAGGGACAGCCTGGGCACACCCAGGGACACTCAGGGACAGCCAGGGCGCACCTGGGCACACCCAGGGACACCTTGGGGTCCCATCCCAGGTGTTCCACCCCATCCCAACCTCCCATCCACCCCTCACCTGCCCCCAAAAACCAACCCCCTCCAGGTGCATCGACATCCTGGAGCTGTGGGAGCGCCAGGATCTGCTGCAGTTCCAGTGCCACACCCTGCGCCTCTACTGCGCCGTGTGCGCCCTGGGCAACAACCGCGTGGCCCACGCCCTGTGCAGCCACGTGGACCAGGCTCAGCTCCTGTTCGCCATCGAGAGCCCCGAGCTGCCGGGCCCGCTGCGGGCCGGCTACTACGACCTGCTGCTAGCCATGCACCTGGACTCGGCACAGCGAGCGCGCTCGTCCATGAGCGCCGAGTTCATCGTGCCCATCACCGAGGCCACCCGCGGCATCGCGCTCTTCCCCGGCGGGGGTCGCTGCCCGGGACCACCTGGGGTGGGGCCCAGCGCGTGTTTGAGACCCCAGCCCCATTTCTCGGAGCCGTGTTTCATCCGCGCCGCTGGCGGCGGGGGGCGGGCGCCGCTCAGCCCGGCTATCCCGCTGCACGAGTTGGGGGCCAAGGCCATGAGGATGTTGGCCGAGGCGGTGGCCGGTGGTGGCCCCCACGCCCGGGACCCCGTGGGGGGAAGCGTGGAGTTCCAGTTGGTGCCCGTGCTCAAACTGGTGTCGGCGTTGCTGGCGGTGGGAGCGCTGGGAGACGAGGACGTGAGGAGGGTGCTGAGGATGATCGAGCCCCGAGTGTTCGGGGATGGCAGGAGGGACGGCAAGGAGGAGGAGGAGGAGGAAGGGATGAAGGCCATCGAGGCTGGCGAACAGGAGGATGAGGAGGCAAAGAGGAAAAAGGCCATCGAGGCTGGAGAGGAGGAGGAGGAGGAAGAAGAGGAAGTGAGGAGGAGGAAGGCCATCGAGGCTGGAGAGCTGCAGGAGGAGGAGGAGGATGAGGAGGAGGCCAGGAGGACGAAGGCCATTGAGGCCGAGGAGGGGCAGCAGGAGGAGGAGGAGGAGGAGAAGGAGGAGGAGGAGGAAGAGCTGGAGGAGGGGCTGCTGCAGATGAAGCTGCCGGAGTCGGTGAAGCTGCAGGTGAGGGGGGGGGGGCGCGGTTTGTGTCCCCTCTCTGTGTCCCCAATGCCCCAATATCCCAAATATCCCCAGTGTCCCCAATATCCCAAATATCTCTGATGTCCCCAATGCCCCAATATCCCCAATATCCCAAATATCCCCAGTGTCCCCAATATCCCAAATATCTCTGATGTCCCCAGTGTCCCCAATGCCCCAATAGCCCAAATATCCCCAGTGTCCCCAATATCCCAAATATCCCCATTCTTCTCAATGTCCCCAATATCCCAAATATCTCTGATGTCCCCAGTGTCCCCAATGCCCCAATATCCCAAATATGTCTGATGTCCCCAATGTCCCAAATATCTCTGATGTCCCCAGTGTCCTCAATGTCCCCAATGCCCCAATATCCTAAATATCCCCAGTGTTCCCAAATGTCCCCAATGTTCTCAGTGTCCCAAATATCCCTGATCTCCCCCAGTGTCCCCAATGTCCCCAATGCCCCAATATCTCAAATATCCCTGATCTCTCCCAGTGCCCCAAATGTCCCCAATGTCCCCGCAGATGTGCCACCTGCTGCAGCACCTGTGTGAGCGGGAGCTGCAGCAGCACATCGGGGTCCCTGTGTCCCCAGTGTCCCCAATATCCTCAGTGTCCCCAGTGTCCCCAATGTCCCCATGTCCCCGCAGATGTGCCACCTGCTGCAGCACCTGTGTGAGCGGGAGCTGCAGCACCGCGTCGGGGTCCCTGTGTCCCCAATATCCCCAGTGTCCCCAGTGTCCCCAGTGTCCCCAATGTCCCCAATGTCCCCACAGATGTGCCACCTGCTGCAGCACCTGTGTGAGCGGGAGCTGCAGCACCGCGTCGAGGCCATCGTGGCCTTCTCGGAGCGCCACGTGCAGCGGCTGCAGCGCGACCAGCGGTGCCGCTACGGGCGCCTGATGAGAGCCCTGACCATGACAGCGGCTGAGACCGCCCGGAGAACGCGCGAGTTCCGCTCCCCTCCTCAGGAACAGGTGGGGACAGACAGGGGACACTGCAGGGACAGTGAGGGGACAGAGTGGGGACACGTGCAGTGGGATCAGGGTGACCATGACAGCGGCTGAGACCGCCCGGAGAACGCGCGAGTTCCGCTCCCCTCCTCAGGAACAGGTGGGGACAGACAGGGGACAGTGAGGGGACAGCCTGGGGACACTGCAGGGACAGTGAGGGGACACTGCAGGGACATGTACAGAGGGTGGTGGCTGCAGGATGAACACTGAACTTGTGTCCCCCTGTCCCTGTGTGTCCCCCTGTCCCCGTGTGTCCCCCTGTCCCCGTGTGTCCCCCTGTCCCCGTGTGTCCCCGTGTCCCTGTGTGTCCCCCTGTCCCTGTGTGTCCCCCTGTCCCTGTGTCCCCCTGTCCCCAGATCAACATGCTGATGCAGTACAAGGCAGGGGCTGAGGATGAGGAGTGTCCCGTGCCTGGGGACATCCGGGACGAGCTGCTGGACTTCCACAATGACCTGCTGGCCCACTGTGGTGAGGGGAGGGGACAGGGACGCCCCCGGGGCTTGGGGACAACCCCCAGGGGCGTGGGGACACACCCAGGGGTGTGGGGACACTCCCTGGTCTTGGTGACACTCCTGGGCTTGGGGACACCGCCAGGGGAATTGGGATCTCCCCAGGGCATTGGGACCCCAAATTTGGGACCCCAAAACCCGCTGGGGCTCCCCTTGGGGACATGGGGACACCCCTGTGACCCCCCCACCGTGTCCCCCCCCTCCCCAGGCGTCGAGCTGGCGGAGGAGGAAGAGGAGGAGGAGGAGGAGACGTCGCTGAGGCAGAGGCTGATGGGGCTGGTGCAGAAATTCGTGGGGGTCCGGGGACCCCCAAAAGAAGAGGAGACCACCCCCGAGGAGCCCCCGGTGCCCAGTGAGGAGGGGACAGGGGGGTGGGGAGGGGGGGGGACAGGGACACTTGGGACAACGAGTGGCCTCAAGGTGCCGAGCAGGGTGTGGCACCTGTGCCAGGTGATGCTGGAGCTGATCTGGAGGAGCTTGGGACAGTGTTCCCAATGTCCCCAATGTCCCCAGTGTCATTGTCCCCACTGTCCCCAGGCACCCTGCAGGAGCTGATATCCCAGACCATGGTGCACTGGGCCCAGGAGTCACTGTGTCCCCAATGTCCCCAATGTCCCCAGGCACCCTCCAGGAGCTGATATCCCAGACCATGGTGCACTGGGCCCAGGAGTCACTGTGTCCCCAATGTCCCCAATGTCATTGTCCCCAATCCCAGGCACCCTCCAGGAGCTGATATCCCAGACCATGGTGCACTGGGCCCAGGGGTCACTGTGTCCCCAATGTCCCCAATGTCCCCAGGCACCCTGCAGGAGCTGATATCCCAGACCATGGTGCACTGGGCCCAGGGGTCACTGTGTCCCCAATGTCCCCACTGTCCCCAGGCACCCTGCAGGAGCTGATATCCCAGACCATGGTGCACTGGGCCCAGGAGTCACTGTGTCCCCAATGTCCCCACTGTCCCCAGGCACTCTCCAGGAGCTGATATCCCAGACCATGGTGCACTGGGCCCAGGAGTCGTTCATCCAGAGCCCAGCCCTGGTTCGAGCCATGTTCAGCCTCCTGCACCGCCAGTACGACGCCCTGGGCGAGCTGGGCCGGGCCCTGCCCAAGGCTTACGCCATCAGTGCCACCTCGGTGCCCGACACCACGGCCCTGCTCGAGTGCCTGGGCCAGATCCGCTCCCTGCTCATCGTGCAGATGGGCCCCGAGGAGGAGAACCTCATGATCCAGAGCATTGGGTGAGCGGGGTGGTGTCACCTGTGTCACCTGTGTCATCATTGTGTCAC